TGAGAAGAAACAGTAAGAGAAGAATCAGCAGAGAGTAATGTCATGGAAGAAATCCAAGGGAGGAAAGACTTTCAAGGAGGAAGAAGTGGTCAACAGCATCAAATGCAGCAAAGACTTCCAGTAAGTTTAGGGTAAAAAAGTATCCTTTGAATTTGGCAACATTGAAGGCCTGGATCCCCATGATATGATCTGTGTCAGCAGAAAATGAGGGCAGAAGCCACAATGCAGTGAATTGAACAAATGAAAATGAGGAAGTAGAATGAGTGCAGACCTTCCTTTTGAGAAATTTGGAAGGAGGAATAGACTATAGTGAAGAGTGATATGAAGTTAGATTCTGGTTTTGTCTTTTTTAAGATGATAGAGACTTAAACACAGATATCAACTACAAAAAGATACCAGTAGAGAAGATGAATTTGAAAATAAAAAAGATGATGAGAGATGGAGGGAGATCCTGGAGGCAACAAGAGGAGGTAGAATCAAGGGCTTGTGGGGAAGAATCGGACACCTTAACTTTATAGGCTGACGGGAAAGGGGAGAGGGATATAATAAAGTGGAGCAGGAAAGAGGTTGAAGGGTATCGTGCCCAGGGATATCAACATTTTCAAAGTCTTTAGCTGAGGAAGGGAAGAAGTTTGGATGGAGAACAAGAAAAACCATACAAGGTAAGTATTATCCTGTTGTGAACATGTCATTTTTGTTGTTGATCTGCACAGCATGCACCCGCCCCCCTTCCTTTTGGTAGCAGCACATAAGTGTTCTTTAAAGATCCATCCCGCCCCACTCTAAGTCTATGTGGTTCAGACAGGAGTCACCCCAGTCTCATACCCACGTCAGTGACTGGGTTCCTAACCCATCATCAGGTCAAAGTGATCAGGTCAGAAATGGGCACATGATGAAATCAGATCCAGGAATTTTCCTGCAACCGTTGGGCAAGAGGTACTCATAGAAGGCAAACCTGGTGGACATCCTGCCACCGGGAAAGATGAGCCTGCCTGAGAACAAAGCCAACTCAAAGAAAGCAGAGCTAAGGGGTGGAGAGAGACAAATGCCTGGTAACATCAATTTAACATGTGTATTTACCTCTGCCTAAATTCACATAAGTCAGTAAATTTCCTTTGTACTTAACATTAATTTGAGTTGGGTTTTATTACTTGCAACCAAGAGTTATGCTGAATCTGTGTGGCAGATATTGCCTGCCAGAACTCATCCCCACACCCACTCTTTTCTAATCTCCCCTGGAAAGGGCTGGAAATCTGAAAAACACATTTCTCAGATGCCTTTGTCACTTCATTCCAGTTAGGTTCCGCCAGTGGGAACCATCACATGAGGAAGGGAGAGGTCCTCCAGCTCTTGGTGGTGCCTCCGGCAACAGCAGCAGCAGTGGTTGCTGCCTAGCAAAAGCAGAAGTGGTTCCAGGAGCATCAGCAGTACAAACTGCAGGTGCATTAGCAGCTAGTGCAGATTTGTGGGTTCCGGCCTTGATCTTTGGGCTCCCCTTTTCTCCCTTTTGCTCCTCTAAACCAAGATTAGTGGTAGTTTCCTGGTCTCTGGGTAACTCTGCTTTCCTTTTTATGTTTCTCCGGACTTCCCTTACAACTTTGTTCTTGTTGTTGTTGTTGTTGTTTTTAAGTAAGCTCTGCACGCAACATGGGGCTTGAACTCACGACCCTGAGATTGAGAGTTGCATGCTCTACTGAGTCAGCTAGGCACCCTCCTCCCTTACGACTTTGTAACAAATTCTTTGCATTAAATCCTTCTCTACTTGGAATATCTGGAGTGATTTCTGTATATGTACTGAACAGTCATTGATACGATACACATTTCTATTTGGCATACACGCATGCGTATACACACACATACACCATTCACAAGGCTCAGAGAGGCTATTTCTCAAATATACAGAATTAGTAATTCCAATCCCTAGCTGGGATTGGAATTCGGACATGTCTGATTCTAAAGTTCTCACTCTTTCTCTACCTAACATTGGCTTTTGTATTTCTTTTCCTTTTTTATGGCTTGATTAAATAGACGTTAAAGGGGACAGAAATAAAAGTTTTTTTTTAATTTTATTTATTTATTTAACAGAGAGAGACACAACAAGAGAAGGAACTTGTGTTCCTCAGCAAGCTTCCTGCTGAGCCGGGAGCCCAATGCGGGGCTCGATCCCAGGACCTGGGATCATGACCTGAGCTGAAGGCAGATGCTTAATGACTGAGCCACCCAGGCACCCAGAAATAAAAGTATTGTTAAGGAAGTTGTTCAGGTGATTGACCTTGATGTTCAATTTGGGTAGGAAAAGAATGGCTTTGAGGCAATGGAGGACTGGGAGATAATAAAGGGATCAAACATCTCTAAAGGCAAGGAGCTGGAGGAGAATGAAGTTGTGCAGGAGGCAGAAGGATAAAGATAAGAAGTTGTGGTCACAAATGGGATGGAATTTAAGGAAATTTTTCACAGGTGGAGCAATTGTGAATAATCACTAGGGTTAGAGTTTGGCCATACTAATTGGATGGCTTCACCAACTGAGAGAACATAGTCAAGAGGTTGGAAGATGATGGCCATAAGAATGGTATGGCTCACTTGCATGATGCCAAAGGAGAAATTTAACCTGCATAGAAAGAGGAAGAGAAATGGTACAGATGTGTATGGAAGTCATGCTAAAGCTAATACCATTGCCCATCTATTGGGACAGCTATAGGGAAAGGAGGAGGGACCCTGGGGCAGAGCCTGATCTCAGTTAAAGCTGGAGGTAAAGAGATAGAGTGTGTAAAGAATATAGAGAAGCTTATTAACCATGGAGTGAATTACAAGAGGTACCATGGGACATTTGGGAAGGAGAGGTGCAATTATGAATGGGGAAAGGAGCTGTGGAGCCGTTTGGAGGTGAGATTTCTCACTTTCCCTCACCCCTCTATCCAATCTATCAGCAAGTCCTATAGACTGTCTTCTAACTATTTTTTGGTGCAATTTCTTTATTTTTTAATTTAAATTCAGTTAATTAACATGTAGTGTATTATTAGTTTCAGAGGTAGAATTCAGTGATTCATATACATTTATTGTATATAACACCCAGTGCTCATTATATCACGTGCCCTCCTTAATAGCTATCACCCAGTTACCCCATCCTCCCACCCCCCTCCCCTCCACAACCCTCAGTTTGTTTCCTATGGTTAAGAGTCTCTTGGGGCACCCGGGTGGCTCAGTCGTTAAGCGTCTGCCTTTGACTCAGGTCATGATCCCAGGGTCCTGGGATCGAGCCCCGCGTCGGACTCCCTGCTCCGCGCACAGCCTGCTTCTCCCTCTCCCTCTCCCACTCCCCCTGCTTGTGTTCCCTCTCTCGCTGTGTCTCTCTCTATCAAATAAATAAATAAAATCTTTATTAAAAAAAAGAGTCTCTTAAGGTTTTTCTCCCTCTCTGATTACATCTTCTAAATATTTTTTAATCTGCCTTTTTTCTCTCCATTTCCATTGCCACCCAGTGCCCAGGCCTATGTGGTTCACCACCTGGGCCACAGTGCCAACCTCCTCAGTGGTCTCCTCACATCCACTGTGGCCTCCTTTCACTCAGTATCCTCTCTGCCACAGAGTAATCTCTAAAATGCAAACCTCAGCATGCCATGCCCATGTCTAAAATCCCTTAGTGGGTCTTCATTGCCCCAAATACAAAATCCATGCTTCTTAGCCTGACATGAGCTGACAAGCCCCTGCCTCCTTCTCCAACCTCATCTCCCACCAGCCCCTCATTCAGCCCTCCTAAGTAACTGTGGTTCCCAATCCTGGCTATTTCATCTACTCTGGCTTTTTATTTTGCTCAGGTCACTTCCTCTGCCTATAATGTTCCTGGCATGGAAGTGCATAGTAGGTAGTGAATATATATTTGCTAAAGGACTTCCATACATTCTACTCATCTTTTAAAATTCAGATTAAGTGTTATGTATGAAGCCTTTCCTAAATCCTCCATCCCAGGTATTGCTGACTCAACTCTCCTTTGTATATAGGCTCTTCCACCTTAATATCTATCTCACTTTATTGCACTTATCTAATGCCTTGTCTGGGGTCCCCTCTTGACTCTAATGTAGAGTTGGAGATTCTTGAGGGCAGGGACTGTGTGATTCATTGAATGACCCACTGTTCAGCACCTAGGAGGTGCTGAGTGGATGAAAGAAGCATGAGTGGGACCTTTTCTGGGAGTTCCTTGGAGACAAGCTAGAGGCTTCCCTGTGACAGAGCAGGTAGGAGAAGAGAAGAAAGAAGAGACTTAAATTTCCTCCTTTGATAGAGAGGAGGAAGCTAACCTTGAGTACCAGAGTTGCTGGATAACTGTTTAGACACCTCTGAGCTCTCTGGCATGATGCAGTGATGGCCCCAGATGTAGAACATTGAATGAATAAGGCCCAGACCTGAGACTCTGGCCTTATCCCCACCTCTCAGATTGAAGGAGGGACACCCAGCCCTACGATAGTCATCCAGACTCCATCAGGGATGAAGGGGAAGGCTCAAGATACTTCTTGGGAGTGGACCCCACAGCTCTGGTGCCTCACCCCTAACCTCTGTTCCCAGCCACAGCCGACCTCAAGCCCTGGGTGCTCCCTGATCTACGAGGCCCAGATTCCTCTCAGTCCTCCCTCCCAGCCATTGAGGCTGGTGAAGGGACCTCAGCAGTTCTGGTCCCGTGGGACCTGGTGCCTGTCAGAAACCACTCTCTGGCCTGGCCTCCCAGTACAAAGCCCTGTATGGCAGTTAGAACTTGTCAGTCTACCCTTCTATCCACCAAATTCCCACAAAGCAAGGGGCCACCAGGTCAGGAGGGGTTGGCCTTAAACCAGATGAGGCCATGGTCCAGAGTGTGAGTCTACTTCTGGGAATTTTCCCCTCAGCCCTTCCCTCCCTTGCTTCCCACAGCCTCATTTGAACTTGACAGCCTCCAAAGAGATATTACTAGCTTCTCAATTCAAAGAAAGAAATGAGACCGCTCCACAACCAGGGCCCCACAAGTCCAGCAAAGAAGCACTCTGGCTTTATTGTGAGGAAAACGGAGAAGGAGCTGCGCCAGACTCATCTTAAGAGCCCTCCTCTCAATGATTGCAACCCAGGAGGCTCCCCACTTTCTGGGGCTGGGGAAGGGTCTTGGCTGTGCTCAGTTTCTCCGCATCACTGTAGCAGTACAGATCGGAGCCATGGATGAGGTACAAGCCAGGACCATTGGCAGAACATGAATGTGGGCCAAGGGACTTCTCCATACACAGGGCTCCGTCAACCTTCTCATGGGGCCAAGGAAGCTCCGTCCACGTGGCTTGAGGTCCTAACTTCAGGTCCAGCCACCACAGCTTCCGTCCTGGGAAGAAGGCACCAGACAAAACATAGCTTCCACATCATGGGATCCTCACCTTACCCTTCCCCAAGCCCTGATGGGGATCTATGCCATGGAGAAATAGCAGAACAAGCCACCATTCAGTATCCAGATGCCCCTCACCTGCCATAATGTGGAGCAGAGAAGTCCCAGGACAAGTAAAGGCTGCATCCACAGCCTCAAGGTTGATCCCATGAGGGCTCCCAAATTCCTTCTCCAGCCTCTTTGGATAACCATCTACTAGAGTATAGCCTCCCTTTGTCAGGAAGATATATACCTGAGTGCCCTGGAGGACAAAGGACGTTAATCAGCATAGAGCTGGATACTCTCCCAGTCCCCATTTCAAGCCTCTCTCCCAACACATACCTGAATTAGGTAGACTTTATTGTCCCAGGAAAAGGCAGCATCCACTGTTGAAGGACCCTGGGGCCAATGATGGGCAATGGGCCAACTGTGCCACCCATCCCGGCTAGTGTCCAGACGCCAGTAGTGGGACCCTGTGGGGTATCAGAGGTACCTCTAGTGCTGATGGTAAAAGGCCAGGCAGTGAATAGGCAAGTAACAGGTGCAGGGATAGGTCCTGAGAGGGAGGAGAGAATACATCCAGAGGCCAAGAGGGTAGAGGCCAGGTGAGAGGAGATAGAGCAGGACTTGATCAGCAAAGTTGGGCATGGTGACCTGACTGGAGCTGGAGTCACTAGGGCCTGACAGAAGGGCAAGCATGGAGAACAGTGGCTAAGGTGCCAAGTGAGGCCAATGTCATGGGGTTTGGCAGCCGCTCCCTATGTATCTCAGACATCCATGTACAGAGATACTATAGACAATGAGGGACAGTGACCAGAAGTTAAAAGAGAAGCACCACAGCATGCTCCCACCAAGTGTTCTCATTCTGGCTGTGTTCTCTAATCCCTTGAGGTGGCAGGAGAATGAGGGAGTAGCCAGACCAGTGCCCTAATTTTCTTCTCCCCTTCTCATAACAATTTATTAATGGAACTAAGTTCCCATTTACCTTTCCTTCCTTAACCACTTCACTTATACTTGTTTCCCTCCTCCATTGAAACTGTACTCTTCAAGGTCGTCAGTGTCCTCCAACTTGCAAATCTAATCGTCACTTCTCTGTCTCCATCCTGCTCCACCTCTCAGCAGCATTTGACTGCTCACGACTCTCTTCTTGAAATATCTTTTTTTGGATCTTGGCTTCTGTGATACCAGCCTCTTCCAGTGTTCCTCTTATTTTTTTTTTTTTTACTACCCTTCTCTTTAGCCTGATATGTTATATTGGAATCCTCCAGTTTGGGCCTCTTCACTACCTACACTCACTCTTTTGGTGATTTCACCTAGTCTAGGGCTTAAAATACCATCTATATGCTGATGACTTTGGATCTGTTCTCTTCAGCTTTCGTGGACCTCTCCTTTGGGCAGCAGGCTCAAACTTAACTGCCTACCCACTATGTCCATTTGGGGCCATTAGGCACCAAAACCCTACAGTGTCCAAGCTGATGTCTGCTCCCTGCCAAACACACACACACACACACCCCTACCTACTCTTTCCTTAATCTTTCCCAATTTTAGAAAAAGGAACCAACAGTCACCGAGTTGCCTAGTCCCAAAAAGCTAAGTCATTCTTAAGACCTCTCTTTTTTGTTCCCCACTCCAACCAATATTCAATCCATTAGTTAATGCTGTCACCTCGACCTCCAAAATATATCAAGATGACTCCTCACCACCCCTGCTTGCTATAATCCTAGTCCAAGCTGTCATTACCTCTAATCCAGACAGCTGCAAGAACTACTATACTTGCTGGATCCCCTGCTTACACCATTGTATCTCTTATGACTTGTATGCTCCAGGATGATCTTTAAAAAATAAGTGAGAACATATCACAGCCCTGCTCAAGACCCCCTCCTGGCTTTCTTTCATAGTTGAAAATCCTTACCAGGCATATGTAATCTGGCCCCTGTCTCCCTTTTTCAAGCCACTCACCAGCTCTTTCATTATTCTCTAGCCACTCTGGCCTTCTTTCCTGATTCCTCAAAGTATTTGCTATCCATCCTCCCTAAAATGCTTTTCCCCTAGCTTTATTTACCTAATGCTTTAAAAAAAAAAAGTTTTTATTTAAATTCAATTTAGTTAATGTACATTGTGTTATTAGTTTCAGGGGTAGAATTTAGTGATTCGTCAGTTGCATACAACACTCAGTGCTCATTTCATCAAGTGCCCTCCTTAATGCCCATCACCCAGTTATTCTATCCCCCTCACCCCCCTCCCCTCCAGCAACTCTCAGTTTGTTTCCTATAGTTAAGAGTCTCTTGGGATACTTGGGTGGCCCAGTCAGTTAAGCAACTGCCTTCGGCTCAGGTCATGATCCCAGGGTCCTGGGATCAAGTCCCACATCGGGCTCCTTGCTCAGCGGGGAACCTGCTTCTCCCTCTTGTGCTTCCCCCTGCTTGTGCTGTCTCTCTCTTGCTCTCTCTCCTCAAAAAAAAAAGAGAGAGTCTCTTATGGTTTGCCTCCCTCTCTGATTTCATCTTATTTACCTAATGCCTTTTTATTACTGAAATCTCAGCTCAAAAACATCTCTTCAAAGAAGGGGCCCCTCATTTCCCTCAACTCTACCTCATTATCCTGTCTTAATTTCTTCACAGCTTTTTTTGACACCTAACATTTTTTATTTTATATTTAAAAACATCAACAATTTTTAAATCCATTTATACCAGCTCCAAATGGTATTTGAGGATGAGCAACATCCTGATGTTCCTAGAACACTTCACAACTACCTAAAAGTATCTCTTCTTTCTCTTTCTTTTTTTTTTTTTTAGAAGTTTCATTTTTTACTCACACATTTAAAAGCAATAAGAAATATTTTAAAATATCTCAGTGCAGATACATTTTTGACTTCAAATCACCTTACTGCGTTCACATCAGCCTCCCAACTCTTCTTTCTCTTTCTTATTGTCCTCTCTCCCTCTAGCAGGCTCCATGAGGGCATGTCTCATCTGCCATGTTGGCTACTGTATCCCCGTGCTTTAGAACTATGTCCAGTGCTTCTCAGGTGCTCAATAAATATTTGTTGCATAAATAGCTGGTCTTCTCACTATAGCCACAAGTTCCCTTTATGGCTGTTTACTGGGCATATCATAGTGACTACATATCCACCTTCAATTCCTCTTGAAACTACCCCTATTTTGAGAATGAGCTGTGGTGCTCTTTGTGCAGAGGAAATAAGTGATGAGCCCCTGATGCATCACCAGGCAAGGCACAGACTGACCAGTAAGCACTTCAGTGTGGTCTAGAATAAAAATATGGGCTGGGTCAGTCAGATTTCCTCTCTGGCAACCCGAGTAGGAAAAAAGAGAGCAACAGAGGCAGTTCTCAGTTGGACCTGAGGCTGAAAGGTCATGAATAGGAGAAGGGAGAGGGCATGATGGGCCTTGTGCAAGCCAACATTGTGAAAAAGCAGAAAGAATGGGTAGGAAGCTAGGAGGCAGAGAAAAGAGAAATATATCAGAGAGGGGAGAGGACCAGCCCTATGCTGAGTAACTGGGTCACACTAGTGTTGTCACCAAGATGGTGAGTTCTCACCTCAGCTGGGGATTTTTAACGTAACAGTGTTCTCTCATCAGCTAGGAAACATATCTAATACTTTTGATTTAGGAGTTCAGCTGCATTCTATTCATGGCCACATGGCCTGGAGGTTCTGTGATCTCTCCATGGCTGGGTATTCTCTCTACATCTTTATGTGGTCCCTGTGGCCCTGTCTTCTCAGTATCTCTACCTACCTACCTACCTACCTCTATCTCTGTCTCACTTTTTCTGTCTGTCCTCCCAATGGTCCCACGCTCTCACCATAGCTGCATGTTCTGATAATTATGTTCTTACTATGACATATATTCTCAGTATAAGTCTATATTTTCACTGCAGGTGTGTGTTTCATCATGGATGAATGTTCTCATTACAACATGCATTCCTGTTGTGGGGATATACTCTCCTCATGACTGTGTCTTTTTCATTATAGCTTGGTAGTCATATCTGATCAGATTTGTCCAGGGGTTAGGAGCAAAAAGGATTTTCACTATTCTATGTTCTCACCACTATTTTACATTTGTATCTGATCATACATACGTCTTAGGCTGAGTATTGTTTACTCCTTCTCTTGGAGCTATTCTCAAGGGTAGATCAAGACTCATCACTATCTGCCTGACTAACACCAGAACATCCCTAGGTATCATTACATGACTTTTACCAGTTAATGCCACAGGTCTGGAGAGAGGTGTCTCTCTGGTCACTAAGAGTAAAAACCTCCTCAGGCCAGCAAATCTATCTCCTAAAGGTCTAAGGGACCCAAAATTTCTTGTCTGGTTCTCAGCAATAGGAACATCTCATCCCTAGGTAATGCTGTGCCCAGAGGCCTGAGCTAAGAATGAAGAGGCACTTGGAAAAAGATGGAGCTGCTAAGGATATGCTTAAGGGGAGCTAGAGGACCTGGCAAGACATGCAAGAGCAAAGGGAATATGAGGAGTCCTAGGGACATAAAGAGGGCACAGGCCCAAGAGTAGACAGTACTGTAAGGTAAACAGGTAGATGAAGTTAGAGGCCTGGGCAATGAGAGACAAAGTTGAACAATATGCATCAGAGGAGATGAGGGATAAAAAACTGCATGCTGAGGATGCTAAGGATGGGATTCAGGGGACAAAATAAGGCACGCAGTGATGAAAATGGAGGCAGTCTATCAGAGATGGGGGACACATGGAAGAGACGGGAGGGATGGAGGGCAGAGATGGGGGCGTCAGGAGGCATCTCTCACCACTGAAGGCATATGTGGCACCATGGTTGTCAGTCAGCAGTGCAGACAAGACTAGATATGGGCTACAGCGCATAGCCCCATGGCCACGATGGGTATCATTCCCATGGCCCGTCCCATTCCTGTGTCCATGGCCTGGGGAGAGAAATAGGTGAGGGGGAACATAGAGGGAGGCCAGAGGTCAGAATGAAGTCCGAGGTGGGAGAGATGGCTAGGGTTAGTGGGGATGTAGACTTCTTCCATAGCAGGACAACTGAGAAGGTCCAGAATGGAGACTGGGCTAGGGCAAGGGCCAAGTGCTATACCACAGAATTAAGGTAGGAGCTAGGGTATATGGGGTCTGCAAACTCAGGGAAGGTAGATGAATTCTAGTAGATTTCAGGGACCAGGGCTTTCTCACCTCTGCCAGGGCAGGGTATGAAGTAGTCTCGAACATCCAGAGGGTACTTGGGAAGCACCTCTCCCGTGATGGGGTGGAAGCGCAGGAACTGGTTACCCCGGAAGCAGTAGTAGCGGCTGAGCCAGTACAGGGCAGAGGAGCATTCCCCAACAGCTGGCCAAGAGCGCTCCTTTTTGGTTCTCGTAGCCAAGTCCCAGAACCACGTTTGGTTACCTTTGCCCAGTCAATCAACAAACATTCAGTGAGGCCAGGCTATGCCCTCCCTTATGCTAGCATTGGGCCCCGTAATGGGCCAGATATGGTCCTGGCCCCATGGAACTCACAGCCCAGCAGGGAAACAGTTGAAGAGAGTGATCATATAATAAAATTCAGCAGCAAAATGCATATGATTGGCTCAGCAAGTGCAGTGAGGAGAGACAGGGAAAGGTTTCCAGAGGTGATAGTTAAACTAATACCCGAAGCAGGAATCACAAGGCAGAGAAGAGGAGGAGATGGAACTCCAGAGAGAGGAAAGTCTGAAGCTTGAAGCAAATGAGGTGTACAGGGAAGAGCATAGAGTCTCTGGAACTTCATACTCAAGGTAAAGGCATGATGAGTGTCAAGGCTGGAGAGTCAGTAGGAACTTCGTCATGGAGAACCTTGTACGTAAGACTAAGGAACATAGATTTATCCTAAGGATCATGGGGAACAGTGAAGAACTTTTAGCAGAATTACACCCAGTTACCTCACCCAGGGTGACTTCCTCTCCTTTCCCTATTTGACCTCTAGACCATAACCAGCTTCTCTATTTCTTCCCTTCCTTGGGAAGCCACATGGTGCTCCAACACCACCACCATCCCTGCCACTACCTCAATCACCACCAACCCACCCATTACTCCAGGCTCTCTTGTTCCAGCCTGTGCTGACCTTTGAAGAAGAGGACACCCTCCTCTTGGCATTCCCCACGGTGACATTCCACAGCTGCATCCACCGGTGATGGGATTCCAGGAAACTCTTCTTGGAGCAACTTCGGATAGCCTTTCTCCTTCTTCTCAGGAGGATACACCCAGACTTTGTCTCCCTACATACAAATCACTCTATTTTTAACTGTGGACCCCACATACTGCCACCTGCATTCGCACATAACATCTTTGATCTATTGCATTTATACAGTATCCCCGCTCCCCCGCAGCCCTACACACTTTCAATCCACCTGTGGACGACAATGTGCTGCCCCTTGCACAAATACATACTCTTAGTATGTGCAAATCCTGCCACTGTTGCTATAGCACATGCACACATCTGACCACTCCCATGACACACTTATCTGTAATACCATTAATCTTGGCAAACATATCCACAAACAGTCATCCTGCGATCATCCATCCATTCATATATTCATTTGTTCATCTATTTATTCATCCATTCACTCGAATATGCTGAATGACTACTATATGCCAGATATTGTGAAAGGCACTGGAGATAAAGGGATGACAAGACTGTCTCTGCCTTCCAGGAGTTCACTATAGAAAAGCAGAAAGGTTCCTAACAATCCTAGCCATGCAACCACCAAAGTGGAAACGTGTGAAGTGCATTGGGAATATAAGGGGAGTGCTTAAGCCTACGTAGAGAATTCCTGGAAGGCTTCACAGAGGAGGAAGCATTGGGGCCAAGAGTTGAAAACTTGAGTAGGAATTCAGTGGGACAATTGTGGAAAGGGTGTTACCAGCAGAGGGAGCAGCAGGTACAGAGCATGCTCAGAAAATTATAGGTAGTCTCCTGTAGGTGGCACAAAGTGAATGTGGCGGGGGAGGAGTTAAGCCTGGAAAGTCAACCAAAGGCCAGATCTCAAGACCCACGCGTACCTGCCTTGCAGGAATTAGCACAGGGTGGTGACACTTAATGAAATAGGGGACACAGGGCGCCTGGGTGGCTCAGTTGGTTAAGCGACTGCCTTCGGCTCAGGTCATGATCCTGGAGTCCCGGGATCGAGTCCCACATCGGGCTTCCTGCTCAGCAGGGAGTCTGCTTCTCCCTCTGACCCTCTTCCCTCTCGTGCTTTCTATCTCTCATTCTCTCTCTCTCTCAAATAAATAAGTAAAATCTTTAAAAAAAAAAAGAAAAAGTAAAAAGAAATAGGGGACACAGCAGAAAGGGTGGGTTTGTAAGAAAGGTAGTAAACTCAGTTTGGGGGATACTGAATTTGAGGCACCCACAGAACATCTAAGCCAAAGATATCTGCCAGGAAATTGGAAAGAGATATCTGGAGCTCTGGGAGAGATCCAGATCTGGTGCCCACAGCATAGGAAGTCCTCAGAGCCGCGGTAGCGGTTGAGATCATGCAGGGAGGGTGTTTTGAAGGGCTGGGACAGATCACCAAGGAACATTCAGGGACTGGCTGAGGACAGGAAGCTGGAAAACAGCAGGAAAGAGGCAGGAGGGGACAGAAAGCTGGCAGTGAGGGCTGCCCCAAGCACACAGAGCCTTGTACAAATCAGGAGAAGGCACGCTTCCTCTACGCAGACACAGCCTGGACCAGGACATGGGACTTGGTGAGCACAGCAGGCTGGACTTCATCTTCCCCTCACCCTTTGGCCAGGTGCCATTGTTATGAGCAGCCTGGTCACCATACGAAGAGTCTGTGAGGCAGAGTGATGGAGACCAAGGGAAAATATTACCAGGAAGGAAAGGATGGCCAACAGCATGAGGAGTAGCAGAGAGGTCTGGACAAAGATTGGGCCTGAAGGATAGCCACTGGGTGCTGTGCTTGCCAGGCCCACATGCACATACATTCCCTCAGCTTGAGCTTTTTCAGGAAAGGAAGGCACAGGGTGAGAAGCCTGGAACCTACTGTAAGGCATCCATGCTAGGGTCACCTGAGGGAGGGTCTCTAGTGTCCATTCCAGCACTTCCCGGCCCTGCCCTGACCTTGGCCCAGCAGTACCTTGATCAGGAAGACACTGTTGTGACCACGGCGGAATGCGGCATCCACGGGGCTGGTGAAATTCTTCCACCTCTCTGAGATTAACTCCCGGACCCATTTGTGACTCTTCCACACAAACTCCCCTGAAAAACACACACTCACTGAGGGACCCAGAACAAACTTTTGGCCTACTGAGATAGTTACAGAGAAGCTGTGGGTGATGCCCTCAGATAATTCCTAAGATCTCCCACAGACAGATACAACCTCGGAGAATAGGACCAGGTCTGCCGTCCCAAATGCCCCAACCCCAGCCCCTCCTACCTTTAAAAAACAGCATGGCCCCATGTTCATCCAGGGTGGTAGCATCAAAGCTCCAGCCATCCAAGCAGAGTTCTGGGGTGGGGGTGGGGACATGCAAGTAAAAGACCAGTCAGGTAATATAACGCAGAGACACAGCCAGACAGACAGACTCGGGGAGTCAGGGCCTCACCGGTCACGTCTGGGTTCACTCTGGTCCCACTCCCTCCTTCGGTCCTGTTCCCAGGGGTACCGTCCCTAGAGAGAAGACAGATGGTTGCCTGGATCCACTGGGCCCAATCCCTCTTCCTTAGCTCCTGTCTTCAAACTTGCCCCAGCCTAAAAACTGGCCCTATGCCACTCTAGCCCAGTCCCCAGTCCTTCCCCACCTCCAGCTTTACTCACGGAGGAAGAGGGTGGGCAACAGCCAGAGACCACCACAGGCCCAACAACCCCAGTGCAACGGGTATTCCCCATGCCCGAGCCATGCTGAGATGCCACAGGACAGCTCTGGGCACCTGGCTCAGCTCCCTATATAGAGATGGTGGCAGCACCACCCCCACCACGAGCCTGCTGATGGTCCAAGTCCTGTCTCTCAGAACTATGCCAATATTGGATGATTACGTCAGTGCAAATAAGGTCAGGGTCTGGACAGAAATCTGAGTCCAGGACTAACTCTTCCTGGCAAGAGGCCCCATGCCCCTTCAATGACTTTTGAGCAGTAACTAGCCCATGCCACTGAAGCCCAACTGTGACTCTCATCACCTTGATGATGGGTCAAGGAAGGATGTAGATTAACTGAGGATCACCTTTCTGTGGTTGGATTTACCTCTACAATGTGGGAAGAGAGAAGCAGAGGAAACTACCATTTTTGTGTACTAAGTGTCAAGCCATGCTCTAAGACAGCTAAAGACACTGATACTTACATCTATTTAGCAAACACACTTAGAAATACCCAGAGAACAGCTTTTTCCAAGCTTCCTCAGGGGTCTTTCTGGGGCATTCCCAAACCCTTTCAGCTTTGCCCTTGATGGGTCAATTATATTTCACCGTCGCCAAATGTCCAAGTCCCATCCCCGGCCCCACCCCTACTGGCAAAGTACTTGGAAAGATCACCTGGGAGGGAAGGGCTGAACGGGGCAGAAAGAGGTGTCTCTCTCTTGCATATTGCATTTCTAGTGATTAGTCTTTCTTGGTAATTTCCACCTTAAGGGAAAAGGACTTTATTTACCCATCACAGAATAAACAGAACTGTAACTGGGGTTTCACAATATTTACTGCTGAGTCTTGCCTAAATGCTATCTTCTCAACGAAGCCTTTCTTGACCACCTTATCTAGCCATTTCCGACATTTGCATATTTCCTTCATGTCACTTTTTAAAGCGTGAAATTATTTCATCTACTTATTTGTTGCTTTTTTTCTTTGTTTTGCCCATCTTGTTTACCATTACATTCTCTCCACCTAAAACAGTACCTGGTGCATAATAGGTGCTCAGTAACTCTTTGTTGAATGAAAAAAAAAATGGATTTCACCTACTGACTGGCATTGCTAATGTTGCAGCTGAATTCCTAACAACTTTCTCTCCTTCTGGGGTGAGGGGAATATCGGGAGTTGAGGTGTGTTAATCATGGGAGGCGTATTGTGGCCCAGGGGTCACAGGTCCCCTTGTCACTGCCCTTCATCTGATGGTCTTGTTTCTCTCTCCAGTGTCCCATCCCCACATCCCTCTCTTCCTCCAGCCCTGGGATCCCACCTGTTATCTCTAGCATCTGCTATCTTCAGCACTCCTTGGGGCCACTCCCAAAGCCTGCCCCATCTCCATCGGAGACTTGGCTGCTGAATCAAAAGACAAATATGGGCAGTCAGCTATGGGCTAGGCTGAGGTTCTAGGACCCCTGTTCCCTAGTCCAGCCTGAAAGGGCCCTGATCCATCTGAGATGGCTCCATGCCCCTGACATTCCACTATATAACCTTAGCAAAGACCTCAGATTCCTCTCCTACTCTGCAATGTTTCCTCCCAACAGGAAAACAAAGATGTGTGGGGCCTCTGGAACATGTCACTGGGCCTCTGCCATCAGGCCCAGTGTTCTCACTTCACTTATAAATGAAAATGTGCCTTTTAACATCATTCCTCCCCACTAGTTAGTGGGCAAAGCTGGACTCCCCAAGCCTTTGGCAGCATGGGCAAATGCCAGGGTTCCTATGGCAGATACCTGACACCCACCTTCTCCCTACTGCAGGGCATCCCTGGTTGGACCTGCTCCGCCCAGTTTCTGGGCACTGGGCACAGGGAGCACCACCCTAACTCACTCTCACCTTTTTTTTTTTTTTTTTTTTTTTGCCTCTCAGTCTGTAAAACCTCATATAACCTTCCTGGGGTTCTTCCTACTGAGCATCCAGTGGCCCTTCATCGGCAACCCCCTCAACCACTGTCTCTAGCTCCGGACCTGTGCCTACATGTCCTACAGATTTCACTGAGCCTGCCAGGGAAGAGGGAGGTTTTCACACTGAGTCACAAACACTCCTCCGAAAATCCACGGTGAGGGGGTCTTCAATATATATCATATTCAATACATACCTATATTATCAGGATGCTGCATAGCCCTGCTGGTCCAGGGGAGCAGCTAGCAGCCTCCTTTGGCCTAGCAGGACTCTGAGAACATATACTGGATGGGATTTTTCAGCTTAGCCTCTTTTTTCCCCACACAGCACTGGTTCCCTTCACAGCACCCCGGGTGCTATCCAGAAGAGTGATTTGTGGCACTTTTTCACTACTGTTTCCTAATTCTCTTTTCTACCCTAAGGGGTCTTAGGTAGCATTATAGGAGGCTTCCCCTGCCCTCCCTGCTCCCCAACCTCCCCATCATGCCCTCCCCATGCCCCTGCCCATCTCCCCTGGCCCACCTTCACAGGGACTAGACAAGCAGCGTGTCTGCACAAGCAGGCAGTTCTGTTGAAGTTCAAGTTCTGAGCAGGAGCTAAGAGGTGGAGTTTGGGAACCAAGGCTGTGGCTATGTTGGCCATTCTGGTGTCCATCACAGGGCACAAGGCAACTCTTCTCAGGGGACCCACACAGGGCTGGCCTTGCTTCTCTGCTCACTTGAGGCGGCCATTTCTGCTTCTCCAGAGTCCCTCCCAGCTTTCTGGCCTGGGCTGAGAAAGTGCTTGTCCATACTTGGTCCTGAGCGCCCCCTGGAGGCCACAGGGTTCAGTGCACACCCACCCTTCAACCGGAGGCCAGAGGCTCGGAAACTGGCTCTCCATAGGCTTCTTGCCTCACTCCTCTGAGCCTGGCTATGGGGCCTTAGCGGTACCCCTTCCTCTGCAAACCTCTGCTGCCCAGAACAGGTTTGCGGGAACCTCAGTCTCTTGCTTGATTTCCTGGGGAATTCAAACCCAGAAAAAGCCAACCATCCCTTTTCCTTGTGGTCTTCCCAATCCTATCCAGCAACTCCCTGAAGGGAGTCTGAATGTGGGCCTGCAAATGTCTTCATGGGCAGAGCTTCCTCTTGCATTGCACGGGCTACATTTAAACTGGACACTGACCCACTGTCCCTTGGAATGACTGTGTCCAGCCTGCCCCACCCCTGGTCTGAGTTCTCTGATCTCAGTCATTTCTCCTGGGGCCCACTGAGGGCTGCATGTGCTGGGCCTGCAGCCTGTGGCTGTATTCTCCCAGGAGCAGAGCCTGGATTCCTTTTCTGTGACTTAGAGGGCTTGGGATAAAGCTCCCGGCACCAAAAAGAGCTAGCTGCTCCCACTGACTCCTCCAACCATGCACGTCTGTTCTTGTTCTGGCTATAATGGGCCTCCCTGCATAGTCCATTCTTGCTTCTCTATGAATAAATATACTCATAATTTGCCTATATTTCTTGGGCACATGTATGTGCCTGGCACTGTGCTTCATATGGATTATTTCATTAAATCATAAATATGAGATAGATATATATAAAATCTCATATATATATGTATATATATATGATACTATCTGTCCCATTTTACAAATGAGGGAACTGATATTAGGTATCATAGCCAAATCCCATTGTTAGCAAGTGGTAGAGCTACGTGAAGTTCTGGCTGCCGGACTTCTCAGGCTGTGCTCGTTACTCTATCAAAGGAGGTGCTGATACATGTGTAACAGCCAGCTCTCCAGCAGGGAGAAAGCCCTGATTTGTAGCATGCGCTAATTTCTGTGGGTAAATCTCCTATTATGGCCATCCTCAAGCTACAAATAAGACATCACCAAAGTGGAATTAAGAAGAAGTGCACAGTAATGTACTACTTACTATATGGTGTTTCCACCGGGCAGATACAATAGGTGTAAATAACCTGGAGAACACAGGTAAGAGTAAAATGCAGTAAAATAATTAGGAAGTGATGAGTTTTGAGTATTATATTGGACTTCAAATTTACATAACTTAATTTTTAATAATGGCTGGGTTTCAACAACCAGCTGTCAAAATTCCTGAAAATTGAACCATGAGTCCTGTGAGCCGGTATGAACCAGCTCCAGCACCCCACTGCCCACCAGACTGCCTGAGTGGACAGGACAAAGATGTCATCTGCTTTATTTACCACTATTTCTTCAGTTCTTAGAGCAGGGCCTGAAATGCTGTATGTGTTAGTATTGAATTCTATTGTTCCTACTTTCTGGTCAGACCTAAAATTTATCCACTTCTCTCTGCCTCCCTCAAAATGCAAACACCATCATCTCTTGTTTGACCACTGAAATAGCCCCTTCCTCCCTGCTTCTCCTGCCCCTCTAGGGTATATTCTTCATAGCAAGCACAGTCTTCAAAAACATGCCTAAAATCACCTTAATGCTCCTGCTTAAAGGTTTTGTTCTTCCTTGAAGACAAAAATCAACTTTAATTCTACTAATCAGAGAACACCACTATGAACATTTTATCTATTCTAGCCTTTCTCTATTCTTCCAACATCCCTTCTGAAACAAAGATGTAATTTTATAAAAGCTTTTTCTTCCTTAGTGTACCTCAGACATTGGCATTTTTAAAAGGATGCGTATAATTCCACTATATATTTAAGCAAAACTTTATATAGCTATTCCCAGCTGAGGGACACTTCAGTATTTCTAGGATTATTTTTTTCCTATTATAAGTAAAGCTGTGATAAACATTGGTGCTCACACCTCTTTGTGCCTTTCCCAATTTTTTCTTAGAAAACATCTGCAGAACTGGAAGACTCTAGATGATTGTAAGGTATCTATGGTCTTCAAGGGGAGCAGTTTAGAGAGGTTGAATTTTGTTCTGTTTTTTATTCTCACTTTTCTTTCCACCTCACGGAATCGCTGTCCAGCTACCTGTTCATCCCATAAGGCATCCTCTCATCTCTGGCACTTAAACCTTTCTGTGCTTTACTAGGATACTCCAGATCAAATCCAAACTCTATCTGACTTAAATAATCCATCCAACACAGGCCTGACTCTCCAAACTTGTTCCTTTCCTCTCTTCCTCCACTTCACCCAGGCCTCCTTTCAGGTCCTTCAATACACCGAGATCTTGACCCCTCGGGACATTTGTACCTGCTCTTCCTTTGTCTGGAAATCTCTACCTTCTCTTCTTAACACAGGT